CCCCCTCTCTCTCTCTCTCTCGGACTTATTAACACGTTTTTACGTTGACTTAATAAAATTTACTTTCATTAGATATTGTCATTCTAGCTCCTGTTATAATCGATTATCGCGCAAATTCGTATACAGTGATTTTCAAATATAACACACACTTATGTATATAGGTTACTAACTTTACCAGAAAAAGTGTTCGAATCGTTTTGCTCTCGACTGTAGTACATATGTATGTGCACACAATCGAAAATAGTCTCGACTATTTCAGATGCAATTGTCATAAATTGCCTATTACGTGGGCTGTAATGATGCCAAAATGGAGACGTGACCTCGTCTACATCACAGTAGATCGGACGGTACATACAACCGAAACCATATACACATGCACTCCGCGCTTCAGCTTCGTATAGTATAAAAGAACAGATACTGTTTTCTGTTTCGTTCTTACCGAGCCGTCAACGAAGGCGCCGTTGCTAGCTTCTTGCTACACGCGACAGCTTTAAATGTTTTTCCGATACACACATACACTTATCTAACGATGTGTATGTCGCAACGAATATGAATTATATATAATTATATGTTACATATTTTATTTTTTATTACATTTTTTATTGTATATTCTTACAGCCGTCCTTGAGACTCTTTCAAAATGCTATAATTATATTCACATATAATTATATTCATTATATAATTATATTCAGTCGTCTCAAAGTTATCGAGGTTTTTATAGTAAGATATCCAGTCAACGAAGGCAAGATCCGTATTGCATATACGTATATATAATTACGTAAATCATTATAATAATAAAAATAATATAAGAATACTCCTGTATTCAATTAATATGCCGTAAAATACTGCCAGGAATCGTATATCTGAATTTCTTTACGCATTATATATTAAATAATTAGGATTTAAGTATCATCTAAAACTGTCATACGTAACAAAAAGCAAGTAACACTTTTTCTTTGTCGCTCGAAAACAACGAAATAAAAAACAATATTTATATTCTTTTTTACTAGCCAAAGCTAATCGAAACGCGGAGTACTATTGTAGCGATACAGTTATCAAATTTGCAGCACGTAGTCTTGTTTTTTTTATCTACGTAGATAGCGATGTTCATCCTGACATTACTACTGCAAGGTCGCGTTATCAAATTAACGATACTGGACGTCAAAAAATTATGGACTATATGTCGTGCATGTTTCTTTCTGTTTATACAAATTAATTAAGGTTCCCATCGCTCGTGTGCAGATAGAACTCATTAAATTAGTAGAAAAATTCTATATTATCTTGTAAAATATCATGAAAATTATGGAAATTATTAACGAAAAGACTCATCCCTAGGTATCACGCGCATCGATTAACCAATATTCTCTCATGATAATTTTTCTATGATGATTGATGATTTTTTTATTTAGTTTAAGGATTTATATATATATATATATATATATATATATATATATATATATATATAAATCCTTAAACTAAATAAAAAAATCATCAATCATCATAGAAAAATTATCATGAGAGAATATTGGTTAATCGATGCGCGTGATACCTAGGGATGAGTCTTTTCGTTAATAATTTCCATAATTTTCATGATATTTTACAAGATAATATAGAATTTTTCTACTAATTTAATGAGTTCTATCTGCACACGAGCGATGGGAACCTTAATTAATTTGTATAAACAGAAAGAAACATGCACGACATATAGTCCATAATTTTTTGACGTCCAGTATCGT